AAGAACAAAAACTTCATTTGCAAGATCAAAATCGCAAAAAAAAAACAAAAAAAAACAAAAAAATTTTACGTGTTAAATAAAATATTTCAAGTGCCTTCAGGGCGTATACTTAATATTTGTAATATGAATAAATCATTAACACGTATACGTACAGCTGTCGTTGATAAAATCAGTGCAATTTCACCACTTGAAATGTAACAACAAGTAGGAATGTATAGTCGAACATGGCCGCCAGATGATACCCTATGCCAGTCCTATTCGGGGCTTCGGTTGTGTGTGGAAATAATATACCGATTTCAAACATCTTCAAGGCTTCGTCCATGGGTCAAAAGAATTTCATCAAATTATCTTGAAAATTACGACCTGTAGCGTGTGCACCAGGTTTACAAATAGACGGACGAACGGACATAGCCTTACGACTCAGAAAGTGATTCTGATCCAATTGGTATACTTTAAGATGGGTGCAGGACCAACATTTTTTTAAGTTACAAACATCAGCACAAACGCATAATACCCTCCCCACTATAGTGGTGTTAGGTATAAAAAATTAGGAATCATGCAAAAAGATTGACAGACAGGTCCCCTATTTTGGCTTGAAATTTAATTATAATTAAACCGTTAAATCGAATACTTTGTCAAATGTTTTGGACAGGTATAGATATCTGAAACTATCAAGTACAAAAACAGCTCCTCGAACTACAGGGTCGTTTTGTTGTTGTTATTTTCATCATATAAGTATTATGATGCTTTTAAAGATATCCTTCAAGTTGCCTTGTGAGCTCATTATGCCTTTGTAAAAACGAGTCTGGGCAACTACAACAACAATAAAAGCTGGAAATAATAGTAGCAGCTACAAATACAAACACTTGCCACAATAATAACAGAAACAACAAGCAGAAAAATAAAACTAAAGAATGGGGAAAAATGAATAAAGTTAAGTTTTCTTTTTGTCTTATTATCACGATTGTATAACCTAAAGAACCTTATAAAAATATCTACTTACTTATACATGCACAGAAAAAACAACACAGATAGTAACACATTTAACTAGTAAGCCTATAAATATGCAATCTTTTGTAATATATGTATATATATAAATTTCATAGATGTATTGTTGTCTAATATTAAAGATAGGACTAAAATGGAAAATTATTATAGAACCGAAAATAGGATATTTTATATATTTTGCTCGTATCTTTATAAATTAAAATCTAAATAAATTGTATTGCAAGGAAACATATAACTACAATAGAAAGACTCAGAGAAAAATTTCTTTGTTGTACACTTTTGAAAATTAAATGATATTAAGATTTTGTTAAAAACAACTAAAGGAAGGTCCAGCTCCCAAACGACCATCAATATGACCAAAACATGATGAGAATTATAGAAAAAGGTAAATTTTTGGAAAAGGAAGGGAGAGTCAGTCTAATGTATAACTGGAAAAAAAGGTCCAGTTACGTAGTCTACATAAAGTACCATTTTCAAAAGGATATAAAATGCAAAAGAAAATTCCAATAAAAATAAATTTAAAATACAAGTTAAATAAATTAACTTTTGTTTTCTGTACAACATCTTTGTCTCTGTCTAAGTGTATGTTTAACAATTGAAATTAATTTTTAACCCTAGAGACCCGAAAAGTTTTATTTCAAAAAAGTTAAATTGTAATAAAAATTTAATTTCTTAGTTTATACACAATGGAAATATGTTGCAGTTATAAATATTTGATACTGTATTCATTTTGAGGTAATTTCGAAAGTTGTATCTTAATTATTTAATATTTATTACAATTATATAAAACATATTTAAGTTATGAGGATTTATTTAAATATAAAAATATTCCTTGTATGCATTGTTTTGTTTTTGTTATGTTTTATAAAAGAGGACTTTGGAATTTTATAAATTTTCCGTATTTTCTAAATCAAATTTCTATATTTTTTAGAATTAATACTCATAGAAAAATACACAATTGCAGCAAGCATGTCCGAGTACATATTTAAAGCAACTCGGAAAACATTTCCAATTTCAGCTATGGGGTCCCTGTTAAAAAAAGTAAACTTTTTTTATTACTAATGCAAACAATATATTTGCAATACAAATACAATCAGACAAACTCGAAAAAAAACACGTGCAACATGTATGTGAACGGAAATTGTAATATTAAATGCTTTTCCTGCAGAAATAATTAGACTTCCGTTCAATAAAGAAAAAAAAGAGCAAAATAGCAATAATAAAGTATATCAACAAATACATTTGCAAATACACAGACACACAGAAATGGACAGACATTAATACAAATGCAGGCAAAGTATTTGAAATAAAATCAACATTATGTTAAAAAAAACTTTACAATAATGAAACTAATTTGTATGAGAAAATAGTAAAAACTTAGCAAGGGAAACTTTTGGCATCGTAGAACAATGTAAAATAAAGCAAATCAAGAAGTTTCTTAGGTGAAATTATTTTTTATGGGGCAATGTGATTTTTCCTAAAAATAAGCCAAATAATTTGTCCAAATACTTTAATAATATAGTCGTATGTTTGTTTGAATTTTAAGGTTTTCAAATAAAAAAATTTGTTAACCTATTAACTGGTTATGTTGTATGTGTACGGATTTTTATAAACTTTATAATGTCATACAAAGCCTCTTTCAAAAACCTTGCTTAAATTTATAGGAACCTAGGTTTTGTCTGAAAAGTAAATCACATTTCTTATTTATGATTGGTTTAAGGTGGGCCATGTCCTATTATACTATCTTACTTGTATAGGTATTTGGTTAGTTAGTTAGGTTAGTTAGTTAGTTAGTTAGTTAGTTAGTTAGTTAGTTAGTTAGTCAGTTAGTTAGTTAGTTAGTTAGTTAGTTAGTTAGTTAGTTAGTTAGTCAGTCAGTCAGTTAGTTAGTTAGTTAGTTAGTTAGTTAGTTAGTTAGTAGTTAGTTAGTTAGTTAGTTAGTTAGTTAGTTAGTTAGTTAGTTAGTTAGTTAGTTAGTTAGTTAGTTAGTTAGTTAGTTAGTTAGTTAGTTAGTTAGTTAGTTAGTTAGTTAGTTAGTTAGTTAGTTAGTTAGTTAGTTAGTTAGTTAGTTAGTTAGTTAGTTAGTTAGTTAGTTAGTTAGTTAGTTAGTTAGTTAGTTAGTTAGTTAGTTAGTTAGTTAGTTAGTAGTTAGTTAGTTAGTTAGTTAGTTAGTTAGTTAGTTAGTTAGTTAGTTAGTTAGTTAGTTAGTTAGTTAGTTAGTTAGTAGTTAGTTAGTTAGTTAGTTAGTTAGTTAGTTAGTTAGTTAGTTAGTTAGTTAGTTAGTAGTTAGTTAGTTAGTTAGTTAGTTAGTTAGTTAGTTAGTTAGTTAGTTAGTAGTTAGTTAGTTAGTTAGTTAGTTAGTTAGTTAGTTAGTTAGTTAGTTAGTTAGTTAGTTAGTTAGTTAGTTAGTTAGTTAGTTAGTTAGTTAGTTAGTTAGTTAGTAGTTAGTTAGTTAGTTAGTTAGTAGTTAGTTAGTTAGTTAGTTAGTTAGTTAGTTAGTTAGTTAGTTAGTTAGTTAGTTAGTTAGTTAGTTAGTTAGTTAGTTAGTTAGTTAGTTAGTTAGTTAGTTAGTTAGTTAGTTAGTTAGTTAGTTAGTTAGTTAGTTAGTAGTTAGTTAGTTAGTTAGTTAGTTAGTTAGTTAGTTAGTTAGTTAGTTAGTTAGTTAGTTAGTTAGTTAGTTAGTTAGTTAGTTAGTTAGTTAGTTAGTTAGTTAGTTAGTTAGTTAGTTAGTTAGTTAGTTAGTAGTTAGTTAGTTAGTTAGTTAGTTAGTTAGTTAGTAGTAGTTAGTTAGTTAGTTAGTAGTTAGTTAGTTAGTTAGTTAGTTAGTTAGTTAGTTAGTTAGTTAGTTAGTTAGTTAGTTAGTAGTTAGTAGTAGTTAGTTAGTTAGTAGTTAGTTAGTTAGTTAGTAGTAGTTAGTTAGTTAGTTAGTAGTTAGTTAGTTAGTTAGTTAGTTAGTTAGTAGTTAGTTAGTTAGTTAGTTAGTTTAGTTAGTAGTAGTTTAGTTAGTTAGTTAGTAGTTAGTTAGTTTAGTTAGTTAGTTAGTTAGTTAGTTAGTAGTTAGTTAGTAGTTAGTTAGTTAGTTAGTAGTTAGTAGTTAGTTAGTTAGTTAGTAGTTAGTTAGTTAGTTAGTTAGTTAGTTAGTTAGTTTTCGTCCTGTATTCCTAAACAACTACACTTTGTTCATTTCTGTACTCCTGCTATATAAATATGTCTATATGTATGTATTAATGCTCTGCCTGTGCATATGTATGTGTGTGTCTTATTAAGGATTTATGTTTGACTTCCATTTATCCCTTTTTCTTCCTCTTATCTAATAGCATTTTGTCTTGCCTTTTCCTTGTTTATATTGTTTGTATAGAGAAATGTTTGAAGAGTAAAACGAAAGAGGGTGGACACAAGGAAATGAAATTGTTTAGGCTGGTATTTCAAATCGTTTTATTGACAAGTGTTATTAATCCGATTGTCAAATGGTACAATTTCACAATTTACATGAATAACAAACACTTGCGCCTATAAACATACTTGTCAAATGCAAATATTTAACTTTGGATTTCCTATCCTTTTTTAAATGGTCATAAATGCCTAAAGGCTTTCAGGAAAACGAAAACAAATAATGTGCATAATAGTGTTAGGTAAGGAAAATGAGTCAAGTTATTTATATTAGGGTCAATTGCTGTCTGCAATAGATTTTAAAATATTCTACGGTATAAAGGACGCTAATTGAAAATAAAATTTTAACTGTAAATGGATCTTTGATTACTAAAGACTTTAAATAAATAAATTAAATATTTTATCAAACATTTTCACTTCACAAAAAACACGGTTTTCAAAATTATTGTACTCAAATCCATTATACTTGTTAACTGTGTCAACAAAACAAAAAGTTGGTCATTTTTTTTATAATTTTATAAATTGCTAATTGTTAAGTTTTAATAATAAATCACCAACAAAACATTTTAATTAATTATTTTATATATTTTTTTTACTTACAGAGCTTTTCTAAACTATCGTCTAATTACTAAAACTAGAGCAAATAATATTTCGTGGAATTTGGTGTTTTAATTTTTTCTGGGTAATGACACATAATGGCTGGTAGCCTTCAAAGGCCACCCTTCAAAATTATTTCCAAATATAAATGCAGCATTACTAAAGATAAATCAATAATAAAATACCAAAAACTAAGTTTACTACGTTCGAAAGGGAGTCACCAGCTAAAGAACAACAACTGCACAAACAGCAGCCACCAAAAAAACCCACAGAAATTATATCAACTGCTAAAACAGCAGAAATATTGTCAAAGTTGGTCATTGGGTAAGTTGCTCTTGTTGTTGCCCTCGTCGTTGTCATCATTCTCTAATGACAGTTGTTGGACAGCAACTGAAAACAAAAAGTATTATAAAAATTTAACAACAACAACAGCAATAATAAACTATGTACAACAACAAGTACAGCAACAACAGCAGCAGCAGCAAAATCAACAACATCAAAACTTACAACAACAACAACAATTGCAACTACAATTATTACAAATTCTCAACAAAGTTTTTAAATCATCAAAGTTTCGTAAAAATCTGCTAAATCACAAAAAATTGCCATCAACGCAATTTAAAGAAAAACTACTATTCTATAGGAAAAAATCAATTGCATGAGAAATTGTTTTATTTTAAGACCAACACCAACTATAGTTTCCAACAATCTTACCCACCCATTAACTAACAAACCAGAAGAACATTTGTTATGTTCTCCATGGGAAACTGGGTCTGAGAAATTTTTTGCTTGCAAAGTAGACGTTTGGTCTATATAACTAAAATGTAAACAAGTACAACGATCTAAGCTGTTTTTAGCAAAAAAAGGTTTATTTACACCAGACAAATATATAAGTGCTGTTGCAACAAAAAAACAAAAGAGTAAGAAATTAACGAGAGAAATCTGAGAAACTTTACATTTTACTTTAATTGGAAAGATCATTGGAAAATAATTGATTACGAAAAGCAGAAAGGAAAAAATGAAACATTGTGAGTATGATTTTTTTAGTCTTCTTTTTCCACTTCAAATTTTTACAATATAATTTTCCGACCCTTATAGAAAGCGGATTCGATTAAGAAATGCTCATTATTTTTACAATTTTTGAAAACAATAGACTAGAATATAGACGCGACTACAGATTAGACTAGAGAGTAGACTATAGACTAGACTATAGATTAGACTAGAGAGTAGACTATAGACTAGACTATAGACTAGACTATAGACTAGACTATAGACTAGACTATAGACTAGACTATAGACTAGACTATAGACTAGACTATAGACTAGACTATAGACTAGACTATAGACTAGACTATAGACTAGACTATAGACTAGACTATAGACTAGACTATAGACTAGACTATAGACTAGACTATAGACTAGACTATAGACTAGACTATAGACTATACTATAGACTAGACTATAGACTAGACTATAGACTAGACTATAGACTAGACTATAGACTAGACTATAGACTAGACTATAGACTAGACTATAGACTAGACTATAGACTAGACTATAGACTAGACTATAGACTAGACTATAGACTAGATATAGATAGAATAGACTAGACTATAGACCAGACTATAGACTAGACTATAGACTAGACTATAGACTAGACTATAGACTAGACTATAGACTAGATAGAATAGACTATAGACTAGACTATAGACTAGACTATAGACTAGACTAGACTATAGACTAGACTAGACCATAGACTAGACTATAGACTAGACTATAGACTAGACTATAGACTAGACTATAGACTAGACTATAGACTAGACTATAGACTAGACTATAGACTAGACTATAGACTAGACTATAGACTAGACTATAGACTAGACTATAGACTAGACTATAGACTAGACTATAGACTAGACTATAGACTAGACTATAGACTAGACTATAGACTAGACTATAGACTAGACTATAGACTAGACTATAGACTAGACTATAGACTAGACTATAGACTAGACTATAGACTAGACTATAGACTAGACTATAGACTAGACTATAGACTAGACTATAGACTAGACTATGACTAGACTATAGACTAGACTATAGACTAGACTATAGACTAGACTATAGACTAGACTATAGACTAGACTATAGACTAGACTATAGACTAGACTATAGACTAGACTATAGACTAGACTATAGACTAGACTATAGACTAGACTATAGACTAGACTATAGACTAGACTATAGACTAGACTATAGACTAGACTATAGACTAGACTATAGACTAGACTATAGACTAGACTATAGACTAGACTATAGACTAGACTATAGACTAGACTATAGACTAGACTATAGACTAGACTATAGACTAGACTATAGACTAGACTATAGACTAGACTATAGACTAGACTATAGACTAGACTATAGACTAGACTATAGACTAGACTTTAGACTAGACTATAGACTAGACTATAGACTAGACTATAGACTAGACTATAGACTAGACTATAGACTAGACTATAGACTAGACTATAGACTAGACTATAGACTAGACAATAGACTAGACTATAGACTAGACTATAGACTAGACTATAGACTAGACTATAGACTAGACTATAGACTAGACTATAGACTAGACTATAGACTAGACTATAGACTAGACTAGACTATAGACTAGACTATAGACTAGTATAGACTAGACTATAGACTAGACTAGACTATAGACTAGACTATAGACTAGACTATAGACTATACTATAGACTAGACTGTAGACTAGACTATAGACTAGACTATAGACTAGACTATAGATAGACTAGACTAGACTATAGACTAGACTATAGACTAGACTAGACTAGATATAGACTAGACTATAGACTAGACTATAGACTAGACTATAGACTAGACTATAGACTAGACTATAGACTAGACTATAGACTAGACTATAGACTAGACTATAGACTAGACTATAGACTAGACTATAGACTAGACTATAGACTAGACTATAGACTAGACTATAGACTAGACTATAGACTAGACTATAGACTAGACTATAGACTAGACTATAGACTAGACTATAGACTAGACTATAGACTAGACTATAGACTAGACTATAGACTAGACTATAGACTAGACTATAGACTAGACTATAGACTAGACTATAGACTAGACTATAGACAAGACTATAGACTAGACTATAGACTAGACTATAGACTAGACTATAGACTAGACTATAGACTAGACTATAGACTAGACTATAGACGACTATAGACTAGACTATAGACTAGACTATAGACTAGACTATAGACTAGACTATAGACTAGACTATAGACTAGACTATAGACTAGACTATAGACTAGACTATAGACTAGACTATAGACTAGACTATAGACTAGACTATAGACTAGACTATAGACTAGACTATAGACTAGACTATAGACTAGACTATAGACTAGACTATAGACTAGACTATAGACTAGACTATAGACTAGACTATAGACTAGACTATAGACTAGACTATAGACTAGACTATAGACTAGACTATAGACTAGACTATAGACTAGACTATAGACTAGACTATAGACTAGACTATAGACTAGACTATAGACTAGACTATAGACTAGACTATAGACTAGACTATAGACTAGACTATAGACTAGACTATAGACTAGACTATAGACTAGACTATAGACTAGACTATAGACTAGACTATAGACTAGACTATAGACTAGACTATAGACTAGACTATAGACTAGACTATAGACTAGACTATAGACTAGACTATAGACTAGACTATAGACTAGACTATAGACTAGACTCGACTATAAACTAGAATATAGGCTAGGCTATTTAGTAGAGAATTTAGCCGTTCTTGGCCAATATTTTCAAAGACCTATAATCGAATTAATAAAAACTTTCAATGTTTTCTCTAAATTTCAGCAAATATTTTTATACACAAAGACATGATGGAATTTGGTTAATAAGTATGAATTTTTGTTTGGCTACAAAAGAATTATAACAATTATTATAACAAAAGTTAAAGTAGATTTTATAAAAACAAAACTCTCAACTATTTTCTTCAAAATACAAAAAAAAACTCTTAAACTCCCAACATTAAAAGAAAAAATCCCAACTTTACAAAACTTACATATTAAGAAACAAACCAAAGATCACTAAAATCTTTTTGGAAAAGAAAAACTATCAAATACAAACTTAAAACCAAACTATTCCTATAAAAACCACACACAACCGGAAAAACTTGTATCAATTTCCGAACATATTTCATATAGAAACTTGACAAAACGAGTGCCACATTGGGTCACTCAGGGCGGCGAAGGCAACGGCGCTCATTGATAAACGTGCTGGGGCCATGGAGCCGCCTGGCGGTGTACCGCCAGATAGAGATCGTCAATTGGTTTTAAAACAGATGGTAACATTTCATGAACGTCCCGAGGGTAGTTTATGTAGCAAAGCCATAACAACAACAGCACAACAACCCAATCCAGCGTTTGCTTCGACAGCAACCACTTACTCGGCAACAACACAAGCGGCCACAGCATTTAGTGGCAGTTCAATTGGTCATGCTCTAGTAAAACATCATGGGACAACAAATCCTCTGCCAGGACAACAGCAACAATCAAATTCATCGGGTTCATCACCATCACAACATGGCAGTACAACAAGCAGCAGCAGTAGTAGTTCAACCACACTGCAGTCAGCAACATCGACTGGTAGTGCGCAAAGTCAACAGCAAACGTTAGAGAAACTATCGAGACCCATGGCATTTGATAAGGTAAATAGAGATTTTTATTTATTTATTATAAATAAGATTACAAAATTGAAATTGTTATAGAATTTATTTTTGTTCTTTGTCCCTCTTGATGAAACGACAGGAACAGACCTGTATAACATTGGCATTATCAATATCTTCACCAGCTTTTTTTAGACTTTTCTTTTCCAGATGTAGGGGACATTTCAATTCACTTTCGTTTTCATTTTTATTGCTATTATACAGTAGGGTATCTAAAGCTGTTTGCATGAGATTAACTAAATCTTTGGGTTCATTGTCATCAGCAATATTTGGCGTGAAAAGTTTTAGTGGTTTAGTAATTATTACGCCATTTTCATTATTGTTATATGGAATATTGTTTATAATATGAGCTTTTTCGTTAAAGAACTCATCTTGTGGTCCCTCGATGTAATCAAAATCTGGTTCATTTATTTGTTGAATAAAATTTCCTTGCTGCTGTTGTGGTGCTAAATTTGGAATCATTGACATTTTAGGAGAATAAGGTAGGGAATCTAAAAAAGGAAAAAATATAATGTAATATCGACAGAAATGCTCCAAGGAGTTATATGCCTAATGAGGTTAGCTGTATAAGATGTTTTGTTATTTAAAAATAGTTGTAACATATTCGAATTGATGTTGAGTTATAGTACAAATCCATAAAATCATATTACTCACCTATTCCGACCTTAAACATCATCATATTGCCTATCTTCATTAAGTGATCTAGGGAAGCAAATGGTCTTAAAACACCATAAGATTGCTGTTTTGGTTGTGGTGGTATAATAACATGAGCACCAACTACACTTGAAGTATGCAACGTATTTGCATTGAAGTTTTTATGATCACTACCCGAGGTTTCAGAACGTTTGTCCATTACGTTTGTGCTCTTTTCCAAATCATTTTCTACAGCTAACTTTACCATTTTCGAATCTGGCTTAGAATTATTTCCCTCAGCTGCTGTATTATCTCTCTGGCGATCGTTTAATTTCCTCTCTCTTTCACGTAATATAACAGCCAAAGGACGGCTGCTAACATTACGTTTTTTAGTCATTTCATTATTTGAATTATTAAGAGATACTAGAAAGTCTATTATGAAATACGAAATCTCATTTCTTATCTTAAGAACTCACCCTTTAGTTCAGAATTATTTCCCTTTTCTGTTAACACTTCCTTTCCTCTATGCAGAGCTACAAAATCTTGCTTAATTCTGCTGTTCTTAGATTCCAAAGCGGTATTACGTTTAATGCGTTTCAAAGCCCCGACCTCAAGGGTTGTTATAGACACTATATACATAGATAGGATGTAAAAATAATTAGTTTATAAATCTAACTCTAAATCTAAACTAAAACTTACCAAAAACTGCGAATAATATTACTATTTTAAAGTTCATGGTGAAATTCAGGGCAAAATTGTAAAAAATATATTCTTCTTTTATTTTCAAAATATTTTATTTATTCAAAATTCAGAAATAAAATGATAAAGTTTTCAAGGAATGTTTGTTTTGGCAGAAGAAAAATAATACCTTTCTATAGTAATTATTAGGGAACGGTGCAAATAAGGGAAAGTAATCGATGTTGATAAAAACAGAACAGGCTTTAGCAGCGAGTGAAAAATAAGATATGTGACTATACATATAAATATATATGGATGTGTGAGCTTAAAGGTCCCATACTTGCATACTTGCACCAGCATGCTGACACAATAATTTGATTGAGCTTTCATGTTCGGACCATATATCACACCAGCATGCTTGCACAATATTCATTTTTAGAAATTTTGTGTGGTATTTGCTAAGAACTGACCTATTTTGTTTACCGCAAGCATGAAACCGATCCGTAGGCATATAACAATTATCCCCAAAATATTTTTCTTTTAGATTTCATAGACAAACTATGATTATTGCTCAAAAAATTGTATTTGAATGAGCAAATTTCCCCATACACAGTACAAGTATGCTGGTACAATCACAAAAATATCAAATTAATTTTGATATCACACAATCAGATGGCAAAATCGCACCACAACCCCATACACGCTCAATCGGCTTGCATAACCACTTGAATGTTAGTATGCAGGTATTGTGTATGGGCCCCTTTATATAAAAATACTCTTTATGGATGAAACGTACATCTCACCTCTTTTATCTATTGACTTGTTTACTGACTTAGCTAAGGAGTAGATATATATATTTACTTGGCGTATGGATTAGTCTATTATTATTAGCTAATATATTAGCTAATCTATGAACTATTCGATGGACTAGTCTAATGTGTAGTATATGCACAGGTCTATTGACAAGTTTATTGGCCGCTCTATGGGTTAATCTATTGACTAGCCCATATAAGAGTCTATTGACTTGTCGGCTGACTATTTTATGGATAAGTATATAATCTATTCTATGAAATAATATTCATACTATTCTATGGACTACGCTCTTATCTCTAGACTAATCTATTAACTATCCCCCCGGGCCATGTTTCCATGATGAAATGTCCCATCATGGTGTATTGCAATCCCGTGGTAAAGAGGTGCTACCAGTGCCTCTACTCTGCCGGGACTATAAACTGGTGATGTCACTTCACTCCTCAGCTAGTTCTTGGTATGATTTGACATGGTGTATAACTAGAGAACCACATAGTCTGGTACTACGGGTGGCCAGTTGCCCGCAGGACTATGTCCTGGCTTGTCAGTTGGTTGAGGTTCCTTCGGGATCCAAGTAGTGGCTGTGGTTTAAACCCTAATTCGCGGGGAGAGTAAGTGGCGGTTAAAGGACTGATGTAAGGTAAAGTCAATATTTCGGGATAAGTTTGGTGCTGTTGCCGAAACAAAAGATACCCCACAGAGGAGTGGCTGTGAGACTAAGCGTTGGAAATGGGTTGGTGTTAATTGTATATGGTACGGATTGAATGTGGGGTATGAAGGTCCTCACCCACCCATTTACCTAGAATAAGTATGTCGTATGTTTTTCTCTTATGAATGTGTCGGATGAATGAGAAGTGTGCTGGGTTGAATAATGATGGATGAAAGGTATCATATATAAATGATACCATTGAATTATCCTTCCTTGTCTACACAGAAAAAAGTTCCAGCATAAATATTATGAACTGCTTTCATTGACTAAAGTTAATAATATTTAAGAATAAGTTCCTAAATTGTATGAATTTTTTCATTTTCATATTTTTAAACATAATCTAGAAGCCTTGACTTAAAATATTAAAAATTTTCTTTATATTTTTCTATTTGTTAAAAAATGTTTGAAATTTTCTTTGGAAAATTGTTTATTTCTTTATGATTTTTAGATTGAAAACAATGAAATAACATGCAGCATTTTCTGAAGAATGGATGTTTAGCTATATGCTGATGTTTTTTATTTCATATTTTGTTTTCCAACATTTTATTTATTTATCATAAAAATTCGCTAATATGTGATTATTTTCTAAAAAATGGAAGATATTAATAGGTAACGCGGATATTTATTCCAATTTTTTATGAAAATTAAAAAAAATGAGCAAAAAACAAAAAAAATCTTAAATGTACAAATTCATACATTTTATGAACTTTTAATATTCTGAATGAAAATGGTTTGGGAAAAAAGTCATGTTCGATTCATTCAATTTATTACAAAATTCATTCAAGTTATGTATTAATTTTTTCTGTGTAGATATGTTCAGAGTATACTCTGTTCATATCAGAATTACCACAGTGTGTCACTGTGAGTAAGAACAAAGTCTCGGCTTATTTGATGGATTCGTACTTCGGTCTGCCGGTTACGTCTCTAGGTGCTGTTGCCGACTCAACAGAGGCCATCCCATATGCGTGGTTGTAAACGGAAGTGATGTTTTATATCACGGAAGTTAAGCAACGGGGCAGCAATGGTCAGAGATTAGGTAGCTCAAGTACTTCAGCAAAGTGCTTGTACATGGACTACTGGGCAGCCGTTCTCAAGGCTACCCAGTGGATGAAAAAGACCACTGTTAGATAGGCCAACACGGGAGGTACTCACGTAAAGCACTTCGGCATTAACTATGTTATTGAGGTACTGTGGTCAGCAAGATAGCAAGAAGGCTCTTTGCCTTCTTGCCCACCTTTAGCCCACCACCATTACCATTTGTAACCTCATCTAACTTTAACCTTTTAATACCTGCAACAGCTATTAAGTAAGTAATAAGTAGTAAGAAAATGGCATAAATCAAAAGTGATTTGATTATCACGACACAGATATAGGGCAAAGGCGTTAAACATATGTAAAGTGTAATCAATAAAGTCCATCCATTCATTCATGACTTTTAAAGCTTTCTGTAATTTCATTTGTAATTAATCAAACCCTTTTACATACACACAACAACAAAAACAACCTAGTATGCCAACTGACAACCATAAAAATGTCTTTGCAACAAGATCTTATTAATTATCGTTAATTATAACAGTTACTCTCCCTAGCATGCTCTCTCAAACCTGCAGTTTTATAAGAAGTTAAGATGTCCCCTAATATCTGTGTATTCTGTGTCGTATCTTTAGTGTCCCCAAGTCATCTAAAGTCTAATTAACTGTCATTAAGTGATTCAAAGTAATCTCAAGAGAAATATTTCTTATTTTTTGTCAGATAGTTATTATTTTTACCAGATCTTTGCAAACGGAATTGTTTACTAATAATCCAAATGAAGTCAAATTTTGTTTGATGATGATTAAGTATTATTAAAGATATTACATAGTTGCGTAATTAATTTTTATATTAAGGGATATAATTCTGCACGGTTTTTGTTAACATGTACATACAAACCTCGTAAGTTTCTTAATTCTTGAGATATACACATTCATACATAAATATATTTTAAAAACTGAAGGTGAAAATAAAGCTACATGTAAATGTAAAACGAATATTAATGGAGAAAGAAAGCTGGGAAAAAAACATAATAATAAATTTTATCGATTGTCAATCACATTTCTTGACAACGACGATGACGATGCAATTGAGGACGTGGCTGCTGCTGATGATGATGATGATGGAGATGATGCTGATGACGACGTAGTTGTCAGTAATGTTTGCCCAGTCAGTAGCAGTAAATCTTTTTACAAAGCCCTGGCTGTTTATAGTATGCAGTGATATATTTCCTTGAAATTATTATTATTTAATTAATTCCTTTTTATGCAATAACTAAATGTCCTATAAGAAATGTTTTAAAATATGTATTCTACAGATGATGAATATTAATGTCGTAAAGAGAAAGAGAGAGAGAGAGAATGACTGTGTATTAAGTTAAAGTTGAAAGAATAAGTAATCATTTTGCAGCAAAATCTTTAGACTGGTTTCATAATTTTGAAGGAAAAACACAGGTTGCCGCATATTTCAGCAATTTTAGCCATTGGAGCCTAACTAAATAATCTGCATATTTTTATAAAAAATCGAGTTTTTGTAGAAAATACTAGTGTCATATATTTTCATTTAATTCTCGATCTAAGCATTATTTTGTGATCTAGAGCTGATTTTAGGTTTTTTTTAAATCAGAAGCAATCAGAAAATATAGAATTTTTTTTCACAAATCGACTTTTGGTGAAAACTTGAATATTCACAGATATTTCTTAGACTTTCGATTTAAGCGTTGTTTTGATTTGAGCTTTAGTTAGGGATCTACAACCGATTTTAGGTTTTTTAGACAAAATTCGATTTTTGAGCATTATTTAAGAATCTACATCCGTCTTTATCTTTTTCATTTAAGAATCGATTTTTGTTGGAAAATATGAGTGATAACAGATTTTCATTACATTTTTGATTTAAGCAATATTTAAGGATCTAAATGCGTTTCTCTATGATTCTAAAGCATATTTTTGGATTTTTATAAAAAAATCTGTTTTCGGTGAATGAGTGATAGTAGATTTCGATTACATTCTTAAGTAAAGCTTTATTTAAGTATTTACACACAATTTCAGTTGTTTCATATAAAAATCGATTTTAAGTGGTAAATATGAGTGATCACAGATTTTAATTATACCATTCACCTTCGTAAGAAGGGTATATAAAAGTTTGTCATTTCGTTTGAAATTTATATAATTTTTAGTTTGTATGTTGAAATCAGTTTTCAGAAGACCCCAGATATCTGCGATCTCCGAATCTTCAATAATTCTATCAGACATAGGGTACTTTTTGAATTTTCTATAACATTGAACCTAGAAACATGAAATTAAACATATAGAGCTTGGTTTAAATGAGAACACATAAAGGGGGCTTTTTGGTACTTTTTCTTCAAAATGTACTTTTTGAATTTTCTATAATATTGAACCTACACTGAAAATAATCCGTGCTTAACTTTATGAAAAAAAATTTCGTAACTACTTTTTTCGTAATATATTCAAAAATTTCGTGTATAATACGAAATATTGTTTAATCAACCCCTTTTATAATTTTACAAAAGTACGAAAACCTGTCGTAATATCTTTTTTCGTATATATTAATAAACTTTGTTTTCTTTTACAAAAATAATTTCGTTAAGGCATGTAATGTTTAACGAAAATAACGAATTTTTTTCGTAACAAGATTATTTAGTAATATACAAGAATTATTTTTGATTTCACAAAAAAAAAAAAAAAAATATTTTGTTACGATTTTTTTTGTTATTCGTAATTTTAAGGGAGTTAAATTAAGCGTAATTAGGCAGCTAATTTCCTGTAAAATTTTTTATGTTTTTTTAAAAAAAATTAGTTTTTTTTATTCGCAATCTTTTTCTAAATTTACAATAATTATTTTAAAAGAACTAAAATATTTATATCTTAAAAAAAAATCGTAAAATGAACAAATTTTTTTTCTAAAATTATAAAAATTATTTTGCATTTTACTAAAATATTTCGTACAATTTCGTATATATTACGAAAGAATTTGGTGGTGCGAAACCACGAAGCATTTCGTACAATGTACAACATTTTTCGTGTATATTAGGCATGGATTATTTTCAGTGTAGAAACATGAAATTAAGCATGTAGAGCCCGGATTAAGTGAGAATCTATAGAAGAGGATTTTTTGGTACTTTTTCTTTCTTCAAAAGGTACTTTTTGAATTTTCTACCATATTGAACATAGCAACATGAAATTAACTGATCGATGACATACATAAAAGGGGACTTTTTCCTTCTTTATGAATCTACTAGTACACCCTGGGTACTTCGCTACCCTAACTTAAATTAAATATATACAAAATTTTGTTTACTTTTATAGAAAATTAAAATTGATTGAACATTTTTTTAATGTTTCAGTTTTATACGTTCAATATCACGTGATTAAATTTGCATTCATTAAGAAGCTTATATTTTTAGTTTCATTCATTTAGCTTCCACATTATACAAAATTTCGAAAGTACTATTTGAAAAAAAGTACTCTAAAATACCTCTAATAGATTATCATTTAATCAAACATTTATCTTTCTGTGTTCAATATTATATACATTTCAAAAAATATAATATTAATGAATGAAAAAGTACCAAAAGTCCCGTTCAGTAGATTCACATTCACTAAGGTTCCTACATTTTAAAATTTATTTTCAATATCTATGTTCAATATCGTAAAAATATCAAAAAATACCATCGGAAAAACGAAAAAGTACAAAAATTTCTCTCAATAAATTCTCATTTAAGAAGGACCGTGTGTTCCGGTTAACCATTATAATGAATCTAAAAGGTACCATTTGAAGAATAGAAAAGTACCAAATAGTTCGACTTACAGAATATTATTCAGTCAAGACCATGTATGTTAAAATTAATGTTCCTTAATGTTAAATATTTTAGAAAATTAAAAAAGTACCATTTATGAGATAAAAAGTACTAAAAAGTTCTCTCTTAAAAAATCTTATTCAATGAGGACCGTGTATGTTTAATAATCATGTGTTTTGAATTCATATTAAAGAACATACAAAGAGTATGATTTGAAGAAAGAAAAAGTATCAAAAGTGGAATAAATTTTACATAAGTGGAAGGTACTAATAAAAAGAGTAAAATTTTTCCCCTTTTCGCTTAGAAATACAATTTTTCGAGAATTAAGTTTACAAAATGTTCCGTATTAAAATATCACAGATAAAACTCAAACGATTCAAATCTGCTTTCATTTGTTCCAGAAAAACAGTGCTTTCAAAAAGTACAATTTACTCGAATTTGGTCCTATATAGGCCTTAGTACTCGAATTCCAAAATAATATACCAACAGCTTATTTTGCGTGAGTAAATAAACTGCTTTTTCAAATTTTATAAAAATTAGCTCAATGAGTTTGAATAAAATTAAATTTCTCGTTCTTTCCCATTTTGGTACTTTTTTCCCCAGTGAAATAGCAAAAATTTTATTACAATAAATATTATAATAAGTTTTCTTAATGTGCTAAAAAAAGTACCATAAATACAGTTTTTTCCCTTTTACACCCAAAAAGGACTGAATTTTAAAAAAGGACGAAACAGGTGTCTCATCATTTTGGGAGATGTATCCAAAATATTTATAAAAATTGTATTATGTTAATTAGTTCAAAAGTTATAAAGAGCCAAAAAGGTACCAAAATCATCTTTGTTACACATTTTTACCCCTTAAAAGTACGAAGGGGTAAAAAGTACCAGACACCCATCTGCTCATTTTAAGAGTAGATACAGGTGCATTTAAAATTTTTCTTGTATCACTAATATTGTGTAAGATAATTAAGAAAACCTGTTTTACCCGTTTTTTTCCCCTTGTTACCCGTAAATGTACAAATTTCCAAAAATCCCTCCTTAGTAGATCTACATAACCAAAAACACATCTACTGTCAAAATTTCATGATTCTAGGTTCAGCCGTTTGGGCTGTGCGATGATGAATCAGTCAGTCAGTAACTGGTACTATTTTGCTTTTATGCACACATGTAGCACCCGGATTGATTGAAAATCTTTAAAACATTCTGATACTTTTTCGTTTTACGACTGGTATTTTTTTTTATAATAAATCAAAAATGTTGAACGGTATATACTCGTATATGATTATATATAATATATAATTCTTACTTGTCTTCACTTTCAAGTGTTTCTCTAAATTAGGCGTATACTTAATATTTGTAACATCAATAAATCATTAATACGTATACGTATAGGTGTCGTTGGTAAAAGCAGTGTAATTTCATAATGTAAAACTTTGAAGTTTTTTGATTTAATATGTTTACAATATTTGTTCTTTACGACAATAGCTACAACTTTGCCTCAGAGAGCAAATCAAATTTCCGAACGGTTGGCAAGATATGAACCTGAGAAAATTATCACTTTTTGCCAAAATGACACCGAGGCTGCAAATCTTATTTGACAAAATGAGACCTGTTTTTGTGTAAAACTGGGAGACACGGGTCCGTATATGGTTATATGTTCATGACTTAAAAAATTACACACATTGTTATTTAAACAACAGTCAATTATTCGTATACAAATTTGTGATCCCAAATTTTATTCGATTCTCTAGGTTACAAGATCTAAAAGTCAATATTTTGTGGGAAATATGAGTGATCACCAATTTTCATAACATTTTCGGTTTGCATTGTATCCATAGTTGGAACTACAAACGATTTTAGGTTATGTTTAGAATTATTTATTGTATTACCAATCAGTCTCCTCTTTTTAGAGGCAAATGATTTAAATTACTTTTCAAAGTTTAAATAAAATAGAGGAAAATGGAAAGCTGTTTGTATGTAAATCTTAACAACAATTTTACATTAATACTGTGTAATCATGATGTAGATGATGTTGATTACGGTGACAACACAACAAACATAATAATGATGACGATGTCACTCTACTACTAACGATGATTTAAATATAAATGAATATTCTATAATGTTTTGCTGCATTTGGCGAAAAAAAAGAAAAAACTAGGAGTGAAAAAAACACGAACGAGATGTGCATCAATTTTCAGCATTGTTAAGTTTTAAAGGCGTTCTAATTTTGTTTCTCCATCGTTTACATCGTCGTTTTTCTGCTGTCGTTATTGGTTTTGTCAAACGTTTTGAAATCCTTTTTGTTGTATGTATGTATATATGTGTCTGTGTACATTAAGTGCTTTTCAATCTTTCGTTTTATTAAAGTTTAGTGGTGGTAAATTGTGAAATGAGTATTTTGATTGAAGTACAACTATCAACATCATTTCCATACCCCCGCCTTACAACAAAATCATCCTCTTTATTATCACCACTAACTCCCACATAGTCAGTGATATCAGGGAAAAAGGTTGCACGTTGATGGCATTTAAATGATATGAAAATTTCTATTTGAATAATATACATTTACACACAAATATTAAATGTAAATTTATTATATTTTTTTTTACTTGGTTTATAGTTATTTTACAAGCTGTAGCATAGTTTATTAAGAGTTGCAAACATCAAGGTCAATAGAATTCTAATAAATTTGGTTTATTTTTCCTTTTGCAGATGGAAGCCCTGGTACGTGAAATGCAAGATCCGGAGCATGGTGTGCCAGTAAGGCAACAGAAAATGTTTCTTACTTCAATACCTTATGCTTTTATGGGTGAGTAAATATATATTTAATAAATATATTTTAGACAAATTTTAATTTTATTTCTTCATAGGCTACGATCTAATTGAATGGCTTATGGATCGTTTATTAATCGAAGAATCAGAGGCCTTGAATATAGCCAATCAATTGTGTCTTCATGGCTACTTTTTTCCCGTCAACGATTCCAAAACTCTAACTGTCAAGGATGATTCTTCACTCTATCGTTTTCAGACACCTTACTATTGGCCCTGGCAGCACAAGGCCCCCGATAATGTAGAGTATGCCATTTATTTGGTCAAACGTTCTTTGCGCAATAAGCAACGTCATGCTCTTGAGGATTATGAAGTCGATGCTTTGGCTTCACTGCACAAGAATCTTAAGGGTAAATGGGAAATTATATCCATGCAGGCAGAAGAGCAAGTACGCTTGGCTAAAGAACGCAAGAAAGGCGACAAAATAGTGGGTGATTCCCAGGAACGAGCCTATTGGCGGGTACACCGTCCACCACCGGGACAATTTACACCACTAGAACCTTGTCCCGTACCCTCTAGAGATCGGCAGGGTAGCAAACAGAATAAAAAGAAGACCGTAGATGATGTGCAAAGAGAAGTGGACTACCTGAAGAAATCTTTAAATCGTACACGCATGAAAATGTCACAAGCCTGTGAATCATTGGTACTGTATTCGGAAACCTTTTCGGAATATGATTTCTTCTTGCAACCAGTATTACCCTCAAATCCTTGGGTTACCGAGGATGTCACCTTCTGGCAACTGAACAATACCTTTGTGGATATACCCACTGAGAAGAGAGTTAAACGTTGGGCCATTTCCATAGAAGAATTGGTATCAGATCCCACGGGTCTGCAGGAATTTACCACATTTTTGGAGAAAGAATACTCTCATGAAAATATACGTTTCTGGATAGCGGTCAATCGCTTGAGAAGATCGGCCCATTCCCAAGTACCCAGAAAAGTGCAAGAGATTTATGAGTACGTTTAAATAATAACTAAAATATTTGTAAATTTTTTACTTAATTTGCAATCTTTTGTGTTTTACAGGGAATTCCTCAAGCCTGGTGCGCCCTGTGAAATCAATATAGATGGCAAAACCATGGAAAGTGTTTTAAAGGGTCTAAAGAATCCCTCCCGTTTTACTTTTGATGCTGCCTCCGAACATATTTACATGCTGTTGCTAAAGAAAGATTGTTACCCTCGCTTCATACGTTCGGATCATTATAAACGTTTGTTGGAGACGGGCATACAACCGGCGCACAAGAAACGTTTCTTTAATTTCGGTGGCGTTAGTGGTGCCAAAAAGAGAATGACTGCCGCCTTGTCCAGCCAACCCAATTTGGGTGGCAATGAGAGTTCCAGCAAAAGTGCCATGTCCTCGGGCAATACCTTCATAATGACAAATGCTCCACCACCGGGTAGTTTGGCTAGGCGACGCGGCAGTGATCGTAGTCTCAGTGGTTCGGCTCATGAGTTGGCGGTAATCGGTGTCAATAAGGACAACTCTTCCAAGGTGCCTCACTCGCATTCGCAAAGTAATCTCAGTGAGATACCCTACAGGTAAAGTAGTCTATGGCCTTTTTTTGTCCAAAACTTAACTTAGAACAAAATAAAACGCTTTTTTAACAAATTAACCATAATTAAATTGGTTATTTTTTTCAAAAATAAAAAAATATATTTTTCTTTTTTTATTTTTTTTTATAACAATTGATTTTTTAACATGTTTTTTTTTTGTTTTTTGTTAAAATCACTGCATTTTTTTTGCCATTAAAAAAATATATAAAAATCAATCTCAAAAAACATTTAAACAAACAATACAATTACAAAACACCAATCAACCAACAATCTAAACATCAAAATTCCAAAAAAATCGAAATGAAAAATTGTTTAAATCATCATAATCATCAGTAGTGAAAGTATTTATCGTGGTGACATGCCTCCGCCACAAGAATCTCAAGAGCCCATTTGTTGTGTTGTGAATACGCGTTCTTGTACACAAAAGGACCATGGAAATCTCCATCTCAATAGTAGTTTACCCTCACACCAGTAAGATTTCCAAACAATTACTTTTTATTTTCTCTCTATATTTTCTGTTTTATTGTTTTTCAAAAAAAAAAAAAAAATTTATTAAGTCTATGGTTTTTTATTTTTTTCTTAAAAAAACAAAAGAACTTTTAATTAATGTTGTACTAAGTGACCCCTTGTGAAAGTATATTTTTTTCTTGTCTTCTAATTGATCTACATTTTATTTTTGTTTGTTTTTTTTTTTTTGAAAATCCTTATATACATGTTTTGCCAACTTCATGTGTGACTCTGCTACTCTACTCTATACAATTCCACAAAAATTTTTATCTCACTATTTCCATTTCTGGTTTAAGTATTATTTCGTGTGTGTTTTTTCGTTTGGTTTTTCTAATTTTTTAATTATTTCTTATTTCATATTCAATTTTCATATTTTGCTATAAAATTTTTAAAAAATATGTATATTTTTTATTGATGTTGTTGTTTTCGGCCAAAGTCGAGTTTTGTATGTCCTTCATTTGGTGCTTTAGTTTTGGATGTTAAATGGATTTATAAATACTGCCCGACGAACAGCCTTTTTAAGAACCCTATGTCTAGTCTATAGTCTAGTCTATAGTCTAGCCTATAGTCTAGCCTATAGTCTAGCCTATAGTCTAGTCTATAGTCTAGTCTATAGTCTAGTCTATAGTATAGTCTATAGCTTAGTCTATAGTATAGTCTATAGTCTAGTCTATAGTTTAGTCAATAGTCTAGTCTATAGTCTAGTCCATAGTCTAGTCCATAGTCTAGTCTATAGTCTAGTCTATAGTCCAGTCTATAGTCTAGTTTATAGTCTAGTCTATAGTCTAGTCTATAGTCTAGTCTATAGTCTAGTCAATAGTCTAGTCTATAGTCTAGTCTACAGTCTAGTCTATAGTCTAGTCAATAGTCTAGTCTATAGTCTAGTCTATAGTCTAGTCTATAGTCTAGTCTATAGTCTAGTCTAGTCTAGTCTAGTCTATAGTCTAGTCTATAGTCTAGTCTATAGTCTAGTCTATAGTTTAGTCTATAGTCTAGTCTATAGTCTAGTCTATAGTCTAGTCTATAGTCTAGTCTATAGTCTAGTCTATAGTCTAGTCTATAGTCTAGTCTATAGTCTAGTCTATAGTCTAGTCTATAGTCTAGTCGATAACTCCAGAAATGAAATGAACTGTCAAAATGTCAATTTGGAAAATAGTCTAACATATGAATGATATTTTAGGTTCGAAATCATCTCAGGAATTTTCTAAATCTTGCGTTTCTCCATCTCTCTCTCAATACAGCAGATCGTATGAGCCTTATTATTGCATTTTTCGGAAATCTTCTCAAATTATAATTTTGTCCTTACAACCAGTAAACCCTCTCAGACTTATACTTAGATTAGTGACAATCTCGACTTCTGATAAAAAATCACTAAAAAGAGAGTTAAGCAAAGTATTATTTCCATATTGGTATTCTGAATTGAAGCCCAAAAGTCTTTATACACAGAGGAAAGAAACCGGTAGAAATTGATACAATCCGTTGTCAAAAGTGAGCTTACCACTTTTGTTAACATTTAGACAACGGATGTGTATAAAATTTAAATAACATCCATTTATTATTTTAATATGTATCAATGTATCGTTGTGATTTCGACAACGAATCGTTGTCATTTCGACAACGCAACGTTCTGTTTTACAACATAGCGTTGTCTTTTTGGTAACACATTATTATTAATTTTTGTTGATTTGAGAACGTCGTGTATTTTTTATATTTTTGTTGTTTGGACAACTATCGGTACATACTTTGACAATGGATGTTATTGAAAAATTATAAACTCTTTGGTGTCAATTTGGTAGCAGACGTGTATGATTTTGAAATGTCTTTTTTCCCTCTGTGTATTGTATTGTGTATTCAGACCCAAATTTTGACCCAAATAAAACTGAGACCCAATCTATTTTTTACTGAAGTTTTTAATAATGTAAGATTAAGGAGGATATTTATACTCGACTTTTATCATTTAGTATCCACTAGATCTTGTTTTGGAAATTCCATAAAAAAGTTGTCTCAAAACCCTGATTCTGACCACCTAAAACATCTGACTAATACTAATACTGACTAATAACTTTCTATTTAGAAGATTTCTCTCTCAGTGTTCAATGACGAGAAACAGACGAACTATCCGAATAGTTACCAAGAAATGAATGACATGCAAAAGTTACCGAAATCAATGTTGTGTTCAATATAATTGCACTAATAAACTATAAAAAAAATCAATGCAAAAATACTAAAATGTGTTTAATTTTAAGTTTAACAACTTAACAGTAAATATAAACTAACAAATAAAATTCAACATTGACTTCACTATTCTTGTGTTAAAAATAAATGTTGTTAAATAAAATCGATGTTTTAAATCTAAAAACAAAAATCAGTGTACATTGCTCTCAAATCAAGAATCAAGTGAATATATCATAAACATTTGTATTAATTTTTCATAAACACAGAGAAACTCCCAAATCGAAAGCGGCACGTTTAGAGACCACAGTAGAAACGGGAGGTAGTAGTGCTGTCTGTCCATGGGATATACCAGATGATGTGCCACCAACAACACAGGCTCCCAAACCAGCAAATCTAACAACACCAGTGAAATTGTCCGTATGTCCCTGGGAACAAGAGGCTGAACCAGTGCCAGCCATTAAAACCAGTGCACAAAGATTAACTAGGTAAAATAGACACAAATTAAATCTTATATAATTTTTATTATAATTATATGATTTTTTCATAAATAGTACTTCTTCGGATAATACTGAAGTATCGGAACGTTTGCAACGTAATTTGGTTATGCGTCATCAAAATACCGTAGATAGTGGTGAAGCTGGCATGAAACGTTTAATACCAAATTTCACAGAACAACGAAGAGCCTCAGTGTCTTTTACACCGGGGTATGTTTGATCAATATTTTGAGTTTTTGAAACAGATCTAATAGTAGTTATGTTTTTGCAGTCGAATTTCAGAGTTTCCGGCAGGACGACCGTCCACTTCTACTAAAACTTCAACAACACCTTCTCCTACGGTGGGCCTAAAACAAGGCGCCTTTCCAGCTTTGTTTGCTCCCTTGCAAGGTGCCCAGTATGCCACGGCAGCTGTGGCAGCCTTGGGCAATGTTATGACCACCACCAATATTGTTACAAAAGATCCTCCTTCTTCCTCCGATGCTGAAGTGGAAGATGAATTAAATAAGTTATCTCTGTCGGAACGTAATAGCGAATCTTCGGCTTCAGAATTGCCAGTACTGCCGACACCAAATCCAACACCAACACCACCTCCAACCACCAAAGTTACACCACCTGCAGTGGAAGAGCAAATTCTTGTGACAGCCGAAACACAAACACAGCCCATGAGCGATAGTCCTCATCAAAGTTCTCACAGTGAATCCTCGGTGGCCAATGAAGGTGATGAGAATAATGCTGCCAATGAAGGAGATTTTGAGGCTGAGGTAGATTCGGAAATTCAAGAAGTACAAATTGAATTGATTGAGTCTACGGGCGGCTATGAAAAGTTGTGTGAGAGTCAAGAGGAAGTTGAGGTGTCACCTCCCACCATACAAATTGAAGGGGAGGAACAGGTGGAACCATTGGAAAAAACTGCTAGTGAAGAGGCCATGTTAACGGAGGAGTTAGATACGAGTGGTAAGGAGGCTATATCCAAAAGTCCTTCTACGGAAGTGGCCATTTCTGCTAAACCTAGCCCCGAAACCGAAGTGGAAATCACACTCACTGAAAGGCCCAACTCGGCCAGCGAACCACAAGAAACTCCTGACAAGGAACAAAACGTTGAGGAGGAAGAGGGTGATGAAGTTTCTACTTCACCCACAAAACCAGCCGATGCCTATAGTACCCATGAAGAACTTTCACCCACCACCGATGAATATCAAGAAGGTTTACAATTTGGTGATGATGGTAAAGACGATTACGATATTGCCGATTCCGAGTCCAATGTGGGCTATATACCACCTGCACCCACACCAGCACCTTCCATGGCACCACTCGCTGAAATGGACACCGATACGGTAGACGATGAGTGTAGTGAAGAGTTTAAGCCCAAGGAGAGTAGTCCTCAAACTGAAAAATCTGCCAAATTACCTGTAAGCAGTATTCCAAAATGCACCACCGAAGAAGTGAAAAAGAAACGCAAAAAGCGCCATCTGGAGTCCAAGAAATCAGCCTCAGCTGAGGAAAAAGATAAAGCAACAACATCAACTGCAGTTACCAGTGTAGTGGAGGCGACAACAGCAGCAGCCGGTGCAGGTAACGGAGGTGCAGCTGGCGCTGGTGGTGTTAAAGAAAGTAGTGCCAAAACTGAGACAGACATAACAACCGTTTGCCCCTGGGAGGATGAGTAAGTTTTAATGCACATTTTTGGGGAAGAAATTTTCAAAATCAGTTTTTTACATTTGATTTTTCATTTACAGAAATGTTACCACCAGTGATGGTACTTTTACCAAAACCTATGCCACCCTTGGGTATTTATGAATAAAACCCAATCTATTTCGTAACGTGGTCAATAAACTATTAAAACGTAAAACTTACAAAAAATGACACAAACAACTTATTATTATTATTATTCTATATGCTAAAAACTAACTAAATTTAAAACACACAAAAATAAAAAATAAAAACTCTTAGGTTTACTGTAATAATTACTTGAAAACAAAAACAAATGTTATGTACTAAAACAATATATAGAGACAAAACTTTAAGAAAAAGGCTATACTTAAAAATAAACAAAAAAATTTAGAACTTAGTATGTGGCAAAAATACTTAAAACCAAAAAATAACTTGAAAAAAGGAGCAGAAATGTTAAAGATAAAAGAGAAATGCTTGAATAAAATAAAAGGGATTTTAAGGTTTTTATTTAAGTTTTAGACAAAAAGTTTTTAATAAAATTCTACATAGTAGTCCTACGATGCAAGAACTTGTCGTTAAAGCGAAATTATTCAATCTCCAGTTCAAACGCAAAGTTTATTTTATAATGCCTAAAAGCATGCTTCTAAAATATCATATAGAAGTTTAATAGTTAAAAGTATAGCGTTAAGAGTGTTAATTTGCTTATGGTGTTTTCTATAGAAATTACTTTTTAATATTAATAAAATAATTTAAAAGAATTTTCTTAATTATCTAAATGACTAGATCTCAAATTTAAATCGTTCTTAGGAAAACACATTTCCAAAGTATGCTTCTTAAAATGGCAGCTCTAATAGAGAAAACCCTCAAATCTTTAGATCTTTAAATAAGAAAATTTTAATGAATTTCTTTAAATGGCATATTGATTACATCTTAAGTTCATTTATGTTATTCTCAGAAAAATACATACAAATGCCTAAAAGTATGCCTTTTACTTATTACATATTACATAAACTGAAAAGAGCATAATATTAGGTGAGACATACAGTTCTATATGAGAAGACACTCAGTTCATTTTCATTAAAAAGAAACTAACTAATTTGACAAATTATTAAATTTCAACTACAAACCCACAATTCTTAAGAAAATGTGTTATAAATTCCTTAAAGTATGCTTTATATTTATCGAGAAATGCGAATAGAAACAACTAAGCAAATCTTGAATATGAATTTTCAAGCAAAAGTAATTGTTATTATAATCATAATTTGTTGCAGTTACACATTCCAAAATGTATGAAAGTAATAAAATAAGAAAGAATGAAATATTAAAAAAATTCTCTCCAAAAAGATTGCATACTTTAAGGTATGGAAAGCTAAGCTTATTAGGAAGTTTTAAACAACAATTTATTTTTAATAAATAAACTGATTTATATCCTAATTAAGGTGAAAATTAAAGAAAAAATTTTGCATTTTTTATAAAAGTTATAATGTTCATAAAAAGTTCCCTGAAACTATGCTCTGCTTTTAAATTTCTCAAGAGTTTTTGTGAAAAAGAGTAACAACTTCATATCAACCTTAAAATCTCTTTTAACAGAACGTAAAAAAATATTTAATAGAAAAAAAAAAACAAAAGTTAAATGTGTGATGTTGACAAATTTAAGATAAAATAAATTGAAAAAAATATGTTAAATTATATAAAATTAAAAATACTATTAGTTAATAAGTTTTTGAAATAGAGAAATTAGTTTAATATAAACACATAACTAAACAAATAATAAAATTATTTAAATAATAATACTGAGTGAGCAAAATTATAAAAAAAAGAATTACAATACAAAATATAACAAGTTTAAGGGCTGAGTAAAAAACATATATATATAGAGACCTTAAAAAAAGCGAAATTACTAGATTTCTCAAAGTTAAAAAGAAAAATTGATATTTAAACAAAATTAAATTTTTAGAAAAATTTTCAGTTAAAAACAAAATTTTTGAACTTTTGTTTTCGTTTGAATTTATGTTCTGAATAATTAAAATGTGTAATTAACGGTAGAAAGCTGCTCTGAGGGAAGAGCTTTTATATTTTAATCAGTTATCGACAAGGAGTTAATGGTTTCTCTCTCTGATTTGTTTAGTTGTTTTTATACATGTGTAAGCTTAAGTATGTGTGAAAGCAATAGAGCTCATGAGAGATCATTTTGGCGTTAGCAGTTCTAAATCAGTCATAGGCAGAGAGTGACAAAAGTCTCTCTTTTAAGTTTTATAAGATTTTTATACGCATGTGAGCTTACAAGTATGAAAGCAAGAGAGCTTTTGAGAGATTACTTGATTAAAATAAGTGAATCATAAGTATAGTTTCTGCAATAATTTTCAAAACATTTTAAAATTTTCTAAAAAATCTTTTGAAAGCGTTATAGTTTTTTTTTTAATTTTTTTTGCAAAATTAAAGAACAAGGAAAAGTTAATTAATAATTTATATTTAATTTTTTTAATTAAAAAATAAACCAAATAAATTTAAACGGGTAAAGCAAATTTGAAAAAAAGTAAATTAAACAACAGCCAAAACACTTAAAATCATGTTAAAAGCCTACAAAAGTTCTAATTGTTTTCTAAATTGATCAAAAAACTTCTCACTAACATAACCAACACAAACATAATTTATAATTTTAAAAACTATATAATATCATTCCTTAAAAACAGATTTTTTTAAACAAAAATTCTCTAGAAATTAAAAACTCCAGGCAAATAGGTTTGAAGAACCCAAAAGCATTTACCAAAATATTTTTTTTATTTTTTCTAATTTATTAAACAAACTAAAATTTAAAAGTTAAAATTTTATAATTTAAAATATTTAAAAAATTTTACATTATTTCCCGTTAAAAAAAAGAAAACATTGCTTAGTTTTAGGCGCTTTAGAAACCATAACAAACAATTTTTTATTATTTTTTTTCTTACAAAAAAGCACAAGTTTCAAATAAATATTAAAAAATTTCAAATAAATATTAAAAATAACACAAAAAATTGTAAAATGAAAATTTCTCTTTAGCAAGAAAAAAAAGAAAATCTCATAATTAACAACTTTATGTCGTACATGCTTTACAACAGAGCCCCAAAAGTATGCTACGATTTTTTTTACTAACTAACAAACTTGAAGTTTTCATTTTACGATAAGTATTATTAACAAAAAATACTAAAATAAAATAAAAATAAAACTTTAACAAATAAAATTTCATGTAGAATTAAGAATAAAAAAAAACTTATTAAAAAACAACATACACAAAACAAAATTAAGCAAATGTATTTTTAGTCAAATATTAAAAAAACATATATATTGTTGGTGTCTATTTAACTACAAAAAATATATACAAATATTAAACATATTACCAATTATTAAAAATAAATAAATTTCTTTAAAATAATTAAAAAATGCTTATTGTTGAAAACTATTTAAAGTGAATATAAGAAAAGTTTAAAAAAAATTTAAAAAATAAAAAAAAAAATAATAAAAAAATTAAAAAACTTACACAAAAAAAATTATAAAACTTTAAAAAACTTACAAAAAAAAAAAAAAGAATTAAATGTTTTGCTTAACTTTATTGTTGTTATACTAAAACTATATATTTCTTTATAATAAATTATTAATATTAACATATAAAACATATTAAAATAATCTACTAACAAAATGTTATAAATAATACAAAATAATGACTTGTGTTTTTATAAACAAAATTTTTTACTTAATTATGCAAAATTGTTAACTGTTAATAGTTTTTAAAAGCGTCTTTAGCTAAGCAATAAAAGTAAGAATTTGTAATTTTTAAAGTAAAGAAGAAATTTTAAATGTAAACAAAAAGGATTTTTACAAAATTTTGTATTTTATATGTTAACGAAACTTATATTATTAAATTAATTATATCAAAAAAGATCCTTTTCAAAATTATACTAAGCAATGTGAGAGTAATCAAATTGAACATTTCAGTTAAAAGAGAAATAATCTGAACATGAATTACTCTTTTCATTTAGATTTGCAGAATAACAATGACTAATAAGACACTCTTACTTTAAAGTAAAGCAAACATAAATCCTCTCTTTAAAGTATAATAAACTGAGTCTTTATGTTTTCACAAAAAAATTAAAGATGAGACTAAAACACTCTTTTTAAAATGAGAATAAACTATGCTTTGGATTTAACTTAAAAACTAGTTAAAAAAGGCAGTATATGCTTCTCTCTTTTGAAAGCAGGCATCTGCAGAGAGACATAAATAAGCTCTTTGACTACTGACGGCTGAAAGTCATAAATAAGCTCTCTAAATAGACTAGAGACATTGCAAGAGAAATATTTTGCACTTAAAAAAAATAGTTAAAAAGTAGAAAGAATTGAGTCTTTATCTTTTCACAACAAAAATGAAAGATGAGACTAAAGAACATGTCGCTCTTTTTAAAAGGAGAATAAACTTAGCTTTGGTTTTAACTTAAAAACTAGTTAAAAAGTATACAGAATAAAAATGCCGTATATGCTTCTCTCTTTTGAAAGCAGACATCGGCAAAGAGCCATAAATAAGCTCTTTGATTGCATTTTGATTTTCTAAATGTGTGCTCAAGCTGTGAAAGCATGAGACATTACATACATTACAAGAGAAATCTTTTACCTAGTGTTAAAAAAACTAGCTAATAAGTATACTGAATACAAACGCCGTATATGCTTCTCTCTTTTCAAAGCGGACAACGGCAGAAAGCCATAAATAAGCTCTGTAACTTCTTTTTGTGATTTTCTCAATGTATCCTTGAGCATGTATGTGAAAGTAAGAGATATTACAAGAGAAATCGTTTTTACTTAAAAAAGCTAGTTAAAAATTATACAGAATAAAAAGGCCATATATGTTTCTCTCTTTTCAAAGCAGACAAGGGCAGAGAGCCATAAATAAGCTCTCTGACTTCTTTTTGCGATTTTCTAAATGTGTGCTCATGTTATAAAACAAGTATCGACAGGAAGTGGCAAATGAGCTCTGTCATATATTTAGGTTACATGTGAGCATGTCAGAGCTCTTTGCTGATACAAGTTTGAAAGAAATTTCATTGAATTAAACAAAAATCTTAAAGAGAAAAGAAAATTTTTTTCAAAGTGTAAATTTTTTATCTCATTTTGCATGATGTACTAAAAGCTTGAGAACACTGTAAAGCATTTGTTAGTATAATAACTTGCACTAATACATGTCCAACTTGTTCAAAGTACATCATCAGGCAGAGAGTGCTTGTTAAGCTCTCTTACTTGTTTTGTTTGTTTTTAAAATATGAGTGAGATTACGTACATGAAAGGTAAGAGATCAAGAGAGCACTGTTCTACATCAGACAGAGAGTGCTAGTTAAGCTCTCATACTGGTTTTGTTTATTTTAAACAAATGTGAGATTACGTGGAAGGTAAGAGATCAATAGAGCTCTTTACCTACATCTGCTATAAATGAATGAGTTTATAAATATAATTCAATTATTAAAAAAACTCTTACTGAAACAAAAGAGAAAATTTAATAAAATGAAGTAATTTTAAACAATGAATATAACTTAAAGAGAGCTAAAGTGAGAGCCTAAAACTTGTGCTTTTAATGTTTGTAAAGAACGGTAAACAACTTAAACCCATACATGAGAGCTTAGATTTATAGCTTTTAAAGTTTTTAATTGAGAAGGATTTATGTTTTACATATAGTTTTTTCATATTTAAAATGAGTTATTGCAAAAATCCTTTTAAAATTTACATTAAATCTTGTTAAAATTTTCTAAAAACTTTAACTTTTAAAATTAAGTTTAATTAAAAATAAAACTTATTTTCGAACAAAACACCTTAAATAAAAACAAGAGCTAAAATTTACTGGAATTCAATAAATTATTACTACCGGTTGTTAAGGACAATTTAGAAACAATTTATTAAAACTTACACACATAGCAGCATAGACATACAAACATATATTTATGGTATTTAAAACATTATTAAAATAAAAAACTAAACTTATTATAAAGAAACATTACACTAAATCAGCCTAAAATCAAAAATATTTAAAACAAAATAAATCATTAAAAAAACCTCAATATTTAGCAAAAAATATTTAACAAAGAGTAGAAGTATAATTAAAAAGAAAAAATATTTAAAACAGAAAACAGCAGAGAAAAATAAAGTAAAAAAACAAATTGAAACCACCGTTTAAAGAGAAAACAATTTATTTACAGCAACAAACCTACAACAAATAAAATATTTAAGTTTATTTTTTTACACAAAAAGCATACAAAAATATTTAATTTATATTATTTTATACACAAAATTAAAAATACAAATACAGACACACAAATACCAACATAAAATTATATTTTAAAGGAACTTGATAAAAAAACAGCCAAAACTTAAGAGAAAATTTATAAAAACAGCACTTAAGCAAACAGAAAGTTATTTAGCAAATAAATAAACTTAAGAAAATAAAAAAATTAAAAACACAAAAGCTCAGTCAAAAAAAGGTAAACAGAAAATATAATAAAAATATCAATAATACTTATTTATAAAGAAATAAAATTAAATTAAGTAAAATTATTAAAAAAAATAATAAAAAAATTGTTGTTATTCTTGAATAGTTTATAAATATATTTTATGTTAAGTCTATATTATATTTAAATAAATAAATAAAAAAATATTTAACAAAATACTAAACTTACCACCACTAAGAGAAAACCTTAAATTAAAACAAAAACAAACTTCATACTCCTCTAAAAAAATTCCTTTAAATAAATTCAATAATTATAAATAGAATAAAATAAAGCAACTTAATTGATCCTTTATCTCATACTTATTAAAATTAATTCTACCTTTTATCCTCTCCCCGCCCACAATATAAACCTTTTCTCTGAAAAACACCCATTTACTTTTAAATACTTATAATTAAAATAATAATAAAAATGTATTTAAATACAGTTAATTATTAAGTTTAATTACAAGACCGACAGAAAAAGCAAAAAAAAAAAAAAATAATAATTAAACAAAAAAAAAAAAAAGATATTTAGTATAAAACATAAAATGTAGACTGTATTAAATAAAAACCACAAAATAATAAAAAAAATATGTCATTAAAAAAAATTACCAACAAATTATTAAAAATTACAAAAAAAAAAAACAAATAAAATGCTTTAGTCAAGCTGTTATTATTGATAAAAAGGCGATTATTTGATGATTAGAAATCTATTAAATACATATACATTCAAATATATATTAAAAGAAAATACAAAAAAAAAAAAAAAAAACAAATTAAAACACATATATAATAAAACAAATTTTATTTAAAAATAATAAAAATTAAAAAAAAACAAATGAAATGTGAAAATTATTAAAAAGTACAATAAATATTAAAAAGAAAGTGCGTAAAAAACAGGTGTTTTCTTTTGGGAGGGTTTATGTTAGAGTTGTCATATATCTTGGATTTAATCATTCAAGATATTTATAGTTTGCTTAATTTTTATAAAATTTATGTAATTTTCTCAATTAGATGCATGCATACTTGGTTACTCTACCCCACTATAGTGGGGTAGGGTAGGCAAGCAGCACTCAAGGCCTAACTTTCGTATGAAGTTAGGTCGGGTGTTGTGATGGACTGTGTGTCCTCATTGAACGAACATGGTAAACACAACAAATTAACAATATGTTGGGTACTCGGCCATGAAGGTCATTCTAGCAACGAACGAGCGGACTGCTTAGCAAATAGAGGCGCTCATCGCCCACTTATCGGCCCTGAACCATTCTTTGGTATCCCACAAGGTTACGTCAGACAAAGATGCGTATCGTGGTCGAATCGGAATTTGCTCGCCACTTGGAGGCAAATAACAAATAGATGACCAATAGCTTAATCACGCTTTCAAGAGCGTGATTAAGCTCTAGGAGACGCCACATCGAAGCTATGCAGATTTTGTGGCTGTCAGGAGCAACCTCAGAACATATATTGTGCAATTGTCCAACACTAAGGACTCGTCGAGAATCTTAGGTGCAGCAACACTAGCCCCGAAGAATATATTCAACCTCTTACCAATCAAACCTGTTATTTTAATACGTGAATTAAACCTGTTATGGTGAACCCATGGACTGCATAAAAAATCCAAAACAGGGTCGCAGTGCTTAGGGCTCTCTATAATCTAATCTAAGGATTAGCAATTTTCCAACTTTAGGATATAATATCTCGAAAACTGAATGCTGTTGTAGTAATTCTGAGGCCAGATTCCAATATATGATTAACATCGGTCCTTTATTTCACCTAGTCCCCATACAACTGA